AATTTGCTGTGTAGCTGATCTTCCTGCCTTTGCCCTTACAGAAGGGCACCACCGTGCTCAGCTAACATGAACCTTTCACTTCAGTTTCCAAGCTTTGGAGAAATGCTGCGGCCCCTTCCAGGAAGTCAATGAAGCCACGAATTCCTACTAAGGCCCCACCCTAGTTTCATATTCATAACCTTATATACATCTACTTCTACAAGTTTAGGTTCCATGTAACCTAGATCTTTACTTGAGGTCTACTGTCCTTCACCCAGATGGTAAGCAGTGAGCCCCATTGCTTCTCAAACACTCAAGAGAGAACCCTGTAGGAGAGGACCCATGATGTCCTCTGGGGTTATCCCTGTCCTATTTAGACCTTGAAATTTTTGCTGCTTTTCCTAGATTTTCAAAAATCTTAAAAGTAATTGTGTGTGACCATGCATTGCCACTATTGCTTCATACATTTCCTACCCAGGGCCCCTGTCCTTGTAAACTTCAGCCTCGGCTCCTCTCTCCTTTTATCTTGGAGCTTCACGTCACTCCTGAGTTATTACCGCTACTTTTTCCCCTTTGCAACTGACATTTTCATTTTGTTGGAGTACATACTTTAGCAACTTTCTCAGAAATTTTATAGGAAGTTTCTGAGGTCTTGTTGTTGGCTTAACTTTACTTCCCCTTAATTGATCACCTATCCAAAACTCTAGTCTAAAAACAATCTTCCCTACAAATTTCAAAATTAGTGTTTTTAGAATTCAGTGTTGATGAGAAGCCTGATGCTGGTCAGCTTTTAGTTCTCATGTTAATGTTCAGGGTTTTTTGTTTGTTTGTTTGTTTGTTTGCTTGCTTGTTTTTATCCTTGGCAGCATTGGATTTCTCTGGAAATAGCACAGTGATGTGTTTAGGTGCTGGGAAGTAGTGGGAATGAAGACATGGGTCTTCTTCATTTGGAGAAACTTCTATCTCTTAACCTAGAGTTTTCTTTTATCTTCTCTGTTTCTATTTTCTCTGTGTTCTCTGCCTACTACAATCTCAAGTTTCTCTCTGACTTCCTGAACTTTCCTACCCCTTTCTATTTCTATCCTACATGCTTGGGCATATACACTTAATTTTATTTTCCAGATCTATGGCATTTACAACTTAATATAAATAAGTTATAAAATTAGTTTATTAGTTAATTGTATGTACCCCCATGAGGGCCTCAGGGATCAAACTCAGGTTGTCAAATGTAGTGGCAAATGCCTTAACCCACAGACCATCTCACCAGCCCAGATCTATGGCATATTTAACTCTAATGATCACAATTTAACTTATAATTATCCTTTCTTTTTGGAATTTTTTCCTCTGCATTTTATTTTGCTGGAAGGATATTCCTCTTGGATGTATCCGAAGCTACTAATTAGTGTTTTTCTTCAAAGTTCTCTCAGCAATGATTTATGTGTTTCTTCTATTGGGGTTGCTCCATACTTATTCAGGTTTTTGTTTATTGGTTGTGGTTCTCAACCCTCAGCTGGTGAGCTCTGGTTGTTGTGTGGGTTCTTGTGCTATAGGTTGTTCAGTACTGTTTTCCTGCTGGATGGGAGGGTAAGCACAGTCTGTGTGCCTGGCTGATTCACAGGCAGGGCTTCATTGAGGTGCAGCATCCACATAGGCAGCCTGGCAGCCCTCAGGCCATGTACTGAGAATCCCCAGGAACCTTCCAAAGCTGCCCTTTCCATTTCTGTCATGTTGTTGTTTTTAATTGTCTCTGTGTCCCAAACAGTTTTGTCTTAGAATAGATGCATTCTCTCTGCAGAGGCACCAGTTAATCCCACCAGCACCTTTACTAGTTCCTTTAAGGAGAAGAAGAATGAATAGAAAGATAATAGGAATGACCTGCCAGGTCATTTCCAACCTTATTTCCCCCATAGTGGAAAATTGCCTTGAGCTTAGATGTAGCTCAATTGACAGTGTTTGCCTTGTATAGGGGGAGGGGAGCAGGGAGGGGATTGGAGCATCAGCTCTGAATACACTAACCTGTCATCCTGGCCCTTGGGAGGTACATAGAGTCCAAGGTCAGCCTGTCATAAACAAAGCTAAAAAATGATCACTGTAAAACACTGGGAAAATATAAACAAATTGAAAAAACAAATGTTCTTCCATCATGTAGAAATATGATGAATATTTGTAAACTTGTTCTAGTTCCTTGTGTGTGTGTGCGTGTGTGTGTGTGTGTGTGTGTGTGTGTATGTGTGTGTATGCGTGTGTGTCTTCCTCTGTCATTCTCCATCCTGTTTTCTAAGATGAGGTCTCCTCACTGAACCTGGAGCTTGCCGATTCAGCTAAACTGTCTGGCCACAAGCCCCAGGGGTGCTGTCTTGACCTCCCCAGGGCTGGATCTCAGGCATATGCTACCATTTTCTATTTATGTGGGTGAGGGCCTCGAACTCAGGTCCTATTCTTTGTGTGGCAAGCACTTCATGAACTGAGCCTCTTTCTCTCTCTCTCTCTCTCTGGTAACAGTGGGAATATGCCATATGTTCTGTTTCTGCTAAACCTCTTTAGACAATAGCTTTACCTGCCCTTCTGTGTCACAGCATATCCCACACTGAATCTGAGGCCTAGTATTTATTGAAGGCATATCATCATCATTTTCTTAGCTAACTAACTCTCTAGCTTTAGGCATGATATAGCCTGTAATTTTCACTGCTTAAATAAGTATTTGTATGTAGTGAGATGTTGTTTGTAATCTAACAAATAAAGCTGGCCTGAAGATCAGAAGAGCAACGTGGCCAGCCACTAGCTCTTAACTCCACCTCAGACTGTAAGGGGCCATCCGGTCTGCTCTCACGGGAGCTTTATTAGATCACAAACAAAATATCACCACATTTATGAACCTGTTGGTTACACCTTCATTCATAGGTGTTCTGATTTGCTTTTCTGTTGCTGTGATAGAACAGTCTGACCAAAAGAAATTCAGAAGACAAAAGGGTTTATTTGATGTCCTAGTTAGGATTTCTATTGTTCTGACAAAATAGCACGACCAAAGCGCAAGTTGGAGAGGGAAGTGTTTATTTGGCTTACACTTCTGTATCACTATTTATCATCGAAAGAAGGACTGGAACTCAAACATGGAAGGAACCTGGAGGCAGGAGCTGATGCAGAGGCCATGGAGGGGTGCTGCTTACTGGCTTGCTCCCCATGGCTTGTTCAGCCTGCTTTCTTATAGAACCCAGGACACCAGAGGCGGCCCCACCCACAATGGGCTAGGCCTTCTCCCATCAATCAGCTTGCCTATAGCCTGATCTTATGGAGGCATTTTCTTACTTGAGGTTTCTCCTCTCAGATGACTCTAGCTTGTGTCAAGTTAACAGAAACCTGACCAGTACATTTGGGTTATACTTGCTAGTAACAGTCCATTACTGAGGGAACATGAGGAAAGAACCTGGAGGGAGAAACTGAATCAGAAACCATGGAGGAATGTTGCTTCCTGGCTTTGTTACTTAGCCCAGGACCCATCTGCATAGGGAACATGCTTCCCACAGTGGGCTAGGCCCTCCCACATCAATCTTCAATCAGGATAATTCCTCACAGACATGTCCACAGGCCAATCTGATCCAGACAGTTCTTCAACTGAGGGTCCCTCCTCCCAGTGACTCTCAGTTGACGGCCCAGCACAGTGCCCTTGGCTATTGGGTAAATTCTTGTGGGTAGAATAACCAGGACAAAAATGTGTGTAGAGCCAATTCTTGGTGCAATATCCAGGGTTCTTTTAAACTAGCCCCGCCCCATAGCTTCCTGGCCCCAAACTCTCTCTTGACTCTGCTCCTCCCAGGCTCCCTGAGGCATCACAGCAGAGACCATTAGGAATGGGACTGTCAGAGCCAGATAGCCAGGCTGAAGCCTGGCTTTGCCAGTTACCAAATGTAAGCCTTTAGGCTATTTCAGTCAACTTTTCTAGAGCTTTCCTATAAAACAAGGGAATAATTCTCCTTTTCTGGAATGGTTGTGGTAAAGGTTAAACAGAAAGAAAATCTGCACAAAGCGCTTACCCAGCCAGGCAGGCTGAGTGTCAGTCTACGATGGTGGTATCAGACCCATGTCATCCCTGAGTCCACTAAAGCTCCATCAGGGCCACGTTCCTGGCGCTGCCATCTCTACCTGCTGTGTCAAGAGTTTCATGGTGATATTTCCCTTCACTCTGAGTTGATAGAGCACTCATGGGCTGGGCCCTCATCTCACTTCAAAACACATTGTCCTGTTGAGTATGTCTAGAGAGAGGAAGTACCTCCCTCCTCCCATCCATGCTATTGGTCCCCTACCATGATAGATGAATTAATTTTCATTATTTTTTTCTTGTGTGCAGGGAGGGGATTAATTTTTGAGACAGGGTTTTACTATGTAGCTCTGGCTGTCCTAGAACTTTCCATACAGAGGAGGCTGGTCTTGAACTTACAGACATCCACTTGCCTCTACCTATCAAATGCTTCATTGGTGTTCTTGGGGACTGAAGGTAATAAGAGACTGACACAGTGGTCTCGGCAGATTTTTGTCATTTGGAGCCCTTTGGTAGGTCAGGAGCTCTGAGCATGGCACTTTGTCCTGGCTACTGGGTGATACCTGACCCCGAGTGTACTTGAACCCTCAATAAAATAGCTGGCAGCAGAATAAATCTACAGGCTTTTTGTTCTAGGAGCTACTTTGGGTTGTCCTAGCTAAGCAGGCAGAGCTCAGCATGGGGCATCAGGACCGTTGTGGCTGTGAGCACACCTCCCTCATCCTTGATACTTTCCAGAGTTGTAAGATGCTTTCAGAGCTGGGAGGGATTTCCTCCTGAGCACAGCACAATCCACAAAGGTCCCTTTCACTGCCCCGCAGATGCCTCCCCAGTTGCCAGGGGAGATGAGGCAGTGGCCTGCTTGCACTGTTGCAGATGGCAGCTTCCAGGAAAGGACCCAGAGGACAGGAAGGGACCACCCTGGGAAGAGCTATTTGCTTCAGAGTACCCGCCTCACTCCATCCCTTGTCTGGGTGTCTTTCAGGCGTCATGGCTGGCTTCAACATGGGAGGAGACCTGAGGGAGCCTGCTACCAGCATACCTCTAGGCTCCCTAGCAGCTGTTGGCATCTCGTAAGTTCCCTTCTTAGCAATCAGTGTGAGCTGGAGAATGGGAGAGAAAACCCCAGGCAGAAGAGGGGACTCCCCCATTGTTCCAAGAGTGCCCTGGCTGTGACCAACCTATTTTGTATTCCAATCCTCCTTTTTACACTCGGTGGGCTGGAAAATTCACGTCTGCCGGGTTCAGACCCTGTCCTTTCACACCCTCTGCCTGAGAATGCTTCAGGAGGAGAAAGGTCATGAATGCAAACCAAATCCTTCCCTTACCCCACCCCCTCAACCACCCTGCCTCCTCTCCACCCTCATTTTTAACTAGGGGATTTTTTTTTTTTTTAACCACTAAGTTCCCAGGGTTGTGGTGGGAACATGGAAATGAAGTATGTTGCAATCACAGACTACTGTCTGCATCCTGTTCGTCAGCTTTCTGGGTGTATATAATGTGTGTGTGTGTGTGTGTGTGTGTGTGTGTGTGTGTGTACATGCAAGTGTGAGTGTGTGAATGTGAGCGTATGTGTGGGTGTGTCTACATGTGTGCACCTTATGGGTGGAGGGAGATGCTGCGTTGGAGGGTGAGTAGCAGAAGCTCAGAGATGGGTCTTCCTTCCCCTTCTGCTGCCCTAGGGTTGCTAGTTTTGGAGTTTTAGTTCCCATTGTGCTGCTCTCACCAGCAGACTGTGACATGACCTAGGGTCTGTTTCTGACCCTCTAGAATCTTCTGCTGTCTCCCTTGTGTGGGCAGAAGGATGCATCTCTGCCTTCATTGTGTGAGAAGCCTGCATAACACAATACTTTAAGTTGTTGAAATACCCACCTGCAAACACACACTGCAGTGCCTCCATTGCTGCCAGTCAGGTACCCCAGCCCTCCATGGCCATGTGTGCAAAATGAGGCAACACCATTGGTAAGAAATGAAGAAACAGGGAGAGCCTAGTGTTGGGAGAAAGAGGAAGAAGGTTCCATATGAGCAGCCAGCCCTGCTTTAGACACAGCCAGCTGCAAGTCAGAGGCTGGTATATCCTGTCATTATTGCCCAGATGGGAATGGGCAGACCTTGGGATCATGTGACTTATTCTCTTACACGGGCTGCAGCTTGGTGGTAGAGGCAGGCTATGGCTCTGCCTTTTAATTCTCTCCTCTATGTATTAATTTGCTTTCTGTTGCTGTGATACAATGCCATGACCTTGGAGAGGAAAGGGTTTATTTCCGCTTACAGTTTATGGAGGGAAGTCAGTTTGGAGGCAGGAACAGAAACAGAGATGATGGATGGAGGAATGATGCTCAGTGGCTTGCTCCACATGGTTTGCTCAACCTGCCCAGGGATGGCAGCACTCACAGTGGCTGGACCCTCCCCCATCAATCATTAATCCAAAAAAAAAAAAAAAAAAAGCCTCCCACACTTGCCTACAGGCCACAGGTCAACCTTACAGACATTTTCTCAGTTGACACTAGCTTGTGCCAAGGTGACAAAATTCTCAGTACCTGTTATCTGTGGTCTAGAGACCAGAGGCCCAGGAGATGACTGCATACACAGCTCTTCTGCTTGGAGGAAGTTGGATGGGCTGTGGGACGGCAGGTCAACCCTGGCCAAGACCTGGCAGCTGGGCTTCCCACTTCGCCCCCTCAGTACCCTTCTTTATGAAAACACTGCTACCTTGGTCCCAGAGGAGAAAGTACAAAATGCAGCTTCCCAGGCTAGCTCCTTGGCGTCATGGCTGGCCTTTCATGACACAGGTTCCCAAGGAAACCTGAGGCTCGGTGGGGTGGGGCTGGGCTGGGTGGCAGCTCACTCTCTTGGGTTTTGCAGGTGGTTTCTGTACATCGTCTTTGCCTTCCTGCTTGGTGCCATCTGTACCCGAGAGGCCCTCCACTCTGACTTCCTGATAGCTGAAAAGGTGGGTGTGCCCTGTGCCCCACAAAGGGCTCAATCTGTAGGGCTTACTTGTTCCTTGAACACACAAATGCCTCCCCTTGTAGCCCTGGGAATCTGTATCTTGCTCAGCCCAGGACCAATGAGGGCTTAGGGGACAGGCATGTGGGAAATGTGCAGCATCTGTCCGTGGATCCTTAGCATGGTCCTCAGGTTCCAGCATCCAGAGACTGGCATGAACAGATAATAGGTTCATCTTTCATGTAAAGAGATCAAGACACAGGGTGGCAGGTAGGCAGCTCTGTTGGTAAAATGTTTGCTGTGCAAGCATGAGGCCCCAAGTTGTTCCCCTAGGACCCATGTAAAATACTTGCAATTCTAGCACTGGGGAGGGGACACAGGAAGATCTCTGGGGCTCTCTGACAAGCCAGCCTAGCCTACTTAATGACACCAGGTCTCAGTGAGAGACCCAGTCTCAGAAAACAAGGAGAAGGGCTAGAAAGATGGCTCAGCAGGCTAAGGTCCTTTCTGCCAAGCTTGATGACCTAAGTTGCATCTCCTAAGTCACACGATGAAAGGAGAAAACTGGAAATTTGTTCTCTTACCACACATTTACTGTGGCATGATTCATGATGCACATGTATACGCAAGCAAACACACACACACACACACACACACACACACACACACACACAATGTAAGTAAAAAACAAAACATGAAAAACAAGTGGGCAGCTAATGTCTGCTGTGCCCAAACTCTGAACCATCCCCAAATCACCAAGAGACCCAAGATCTGATGCAAAAGCAAAGATTTGCCCCCCTCCTACCCCCATCCTACACAGCGGGACAGCAGGTGAAGAAGGCAGGGGCAGGAGAGGACCTTGAACAGCAGTGGGGCAGGGGAGCATTGGTAGAGCAAGGGGAGTGTCTGGGGGAGTCTGCTAGTTGTATAGTAACAGTCTCAGGATTGGTGCATGTCTGGGCTTGGGAGGCCTGTCCTGTGTTGATTGGTCAGCTGCAGCTACAGGAAGGTTGCTATGACTGGAGGCCCTCCCAGGGCAGTTGCTATGCTCTGCATGCCACCGTTACCATAAAGCACATCCAGAGCCTGCCAACTTCTGATTGGTTCCTTGCCACATGGAGGGTATCTGACAGTTTATTCCCAGTAATTAAGGAAGGTCAGGAGCTCAGCCCATGTTGCTGAGTCAGAGGCCCACATCTTGCTGGGTCTTTTCTGCATCCTGTCATGGCTGCCAAAGCAAGGGGCTGGGTGAGGGTCTGGTCCCTTCAAGGTCAGCACCCAAGGTTGACCTCTGCCCTCCATTTACTCACATGTACTTGATCAAACATGCAGACGGATGGTAGGGGGGTGTCGGCAGAGGGGGAGACAGAGACACATGGGGGGAGGTGGGGTTCAGGAGATATCAGAGCTGACAGAAGAATCCGGTACTTTGAATTCCTGTCTCCTCAGTCTTTACATTTTTGTTGGTAGCTTCAGCTGCCACCAGGAAATGCTGCTCATAAGAGCAGGGAGGTGGAGGAGGGGAGGGTACATGGCGGCAGGCTCTCCTAAGAATCACAGAAACTTTGGGTTGGTCTGGATTAGTGAATTCCTTGAGTTTCATCACTTCCTTTACAAGTTGGGCATCATGTGACACCAAGGACACTTATTTGGCATCGATTAAACTCACAAGAATCAGATTGTCTGAAAAATTCCCTAAAACTCCCATTGTGCCTCAAATTCACAGAGGAAAAGCAGACTCTGAAATTCCCACCATTTCCAGAGAATGGTGGCCAATTAGGGAGGGTCTCAGTCACTTAGGGAGGGTCTCAGTCAGTCAGTCAGTCAGTTAGGGAGGGTCTCAGTCACTTAGGGAGGGTCTCAGTCAGTTAGGAAGGGTCTCAGTCACTTAGGGAGGGTCTCAGTCAGTTAGGGAAGGTCTCAGTTAGGGAGGGTCTCAGTCAGTTAGGGAGGGTCTCAGTCAGTTAGGGAGGGTCTCAGTCACTTAGGGAAGGTCTCAGTCAGTTAAGGAGGGTCTCAGTCAGTTAGGGAGGGTCTCAGTCAGTTAGGGAGGGTCTCAGTCAGTTAGGGAGGGTCTCAGTCAGTTAGGGAAGGTCTCAGTTAGGGAGGGTCTCAGTCAGTTAGGGAGGGTCTCAGTCAGTTAGGGAGGGTCTCAGTCAGTTAGGGAGGGTCTCAGTCAGTTAGGGAAAGTCTCAGTCAGTTAGGAAGGGTCTCAGTCAATTAGGGAGGGTCTCAGTCAGTTAGTTAGGGAGGGTCTCAGTCAATTAGGGAGGGTCTCAGTCACTTAGGGAAGGTCTCAGTCAGTTAGGGAGGGTCTCAGTCAGTTAGGGAGGGTCTCAGTCACTTAGGGAAGGTCTCAGTCACTTAGGGAGGGTCTCAGTCAGTCAGTCAGTCAGTTAGGGAGGGTCTCAGTCAGTTAGGGTCTCAGTCAGTTAAGGAAGGTCTCAGTCAGTTAAGGAAGGTCTCAGTCAATTAGGGAGGGTCTCAGTCAGTCAGTTAGGGAGGGTCTCAGTCAATTAGGGAGGGTCTCAGTCACTTAGGGAAGGTCTCAGTCACTTAGGGAGGGTCTCAGTCACTTAGGAAGGGTCTCAGTCAGTCAGTTAGGGAGGGTCTCAGTCACTTAGGAAGGGTGTCAGTTAGGGAGGGTCTCTGTTAGTTAGGGAGGTCTCTGTCAGTTAGGGAGGGTTTCTTGGTGTGGAGCCAATATATCTGCACAGAGCACCAGTGATGGCAGAAACCTGACTGACACAGGAGATGGAGCTGGCTTTTTAAAAGTGTACTTGGGTTTGGTCTCCACACTCATGAGGGTCTCTTTTTAGAGAGAGAGAGAGAGAGAGAGAGAGAGAGAGGGAGGGAGAGAGAGAGAGAGGGAGAGGGAGAGAGAGAGGTTTATTCTTTCTTTGCTCTTTGGGGGCCTACCATCCAGCCCCCAAATAAATATAAGAAGGCTTATTCTTTCTTATGAATGCCTAGCCTTAGCTTGGCTTGTTTAGTTAGATTTTTTTTTTTTTTAATTTAAATTATCCCATCTACCTTTTGCTTCTGGACTTTTACTTTTCTCTATTTTTGTATATCTTTCCTTCTTATTCCAAGTCTGGCTGGGTATCTTCTGCTTTCCCTTTTTCTCTCTCCTCTAGACTTGATTTCTCCTATTATTTATTCTCTCTGCCTGACAGTCCCCCACCTATTTCTCTCTGCTGCCCAGCTAATGGCCATTCAGCTCTTTGTTAGACCAATCAGGCATTTTAGGCAGATAAAGTAACACAACTTCATAGAGTTAAACAAACACAACATAAAAGAATGCACACATATTTAGATTATTAAAACAAATACTGAACAGCATACAATATCCCACAGCAGTGCACAGACTCCAGTACAGGTGTACTTGTTTTTAGAGGTCATGACCTCAGCACAAAGGCAGGATGGGAAGGGAGAAGAGATCACTCAGGTCATGAGAGAGCTGGCCCAGAGCCCCAAATCTCAGGGGAGGAATGTTGGAATGTTTGTCCCCAGTTATATTCTCTCTCATTTACTCACACACAGTCACAGACACACAGTCACAGACACACACACACACACACACACACACACACACACACACAGACACACACACAGACACACACAGACACAGACACACACACAGACTCACACAGACACACACACAGTCACACACACACACATAGACACACACAGACACACACACAGTCACAGACACACAGACACACAGACACACAGACACACACACAGACACACACACAGACACACACACAGACACACACAGACAGAGACACACACACAGACACACACACACAGACTCACACAGACACACACACAGTCACACACACACACATAGACACACACAGACACACACACAGTCACAGACACACAGACACACAGACACACAGACACACACAGACACACACAGACAGAGACACACACACAGACACACACACACAGACTCACACAGACACACACACAGTCACACACACACACACATACAGACACACACACACACAGAGACACACACACAGACACACACACAGTCACAGACACACACACACAGACACACACACAGACACACACACACACACACACACACACACACACACACACACACACACACACACACACACACACACACGGGTTCACCTGGAGTCTGACCTTCATGGACCTCTTCTCGGTGGGGGTGAGAGTGTGGTTACAAGTGAGAAACTGAAAGCCTCAGAAAGCCATTGGAGCCAAGAAGGAGCACTTCCCTGGGGATCCCTGCTTGCCCTTTGTCAGCAGCTGTGTGGTGGGGAGGGGGCGGTGGGGGCGGGGCAGGCTCTGCTGGCCTGGAGAGCAGCTTCCTCTCCAGCAGCTACCTGCCTGGTACTCCCCTCACCTGTTAGAGACTGTCTGGAGAGAGGAGGCAGATTTCCCGCTGGGGTGTGGCTCTTTGGAGGGAAATCTCAGCATGGACATGGAAGAGACCTTGTAACTAAGGAAGAACATCACAGGACAGGTTAAAAACATCTCCAGACATACAGACTACAGCCTCCATAGCCTGTGGGTGGAAGGTCCTCACTCAGTAAACCTGTCAACAGAGGGAATGTTCTTAGGAATGCCACATGTCTTGGACGGTGAGACAAGTGGGTGAGGCCAATTGGCTTGGCTTGGCAAGCTTGGCTATGGTATGTGGGGATGCACGTATATACATGTGAAAGGTGAACCATGGGCTTTGGAGGGTACCCAAGAGACCATTTCCTGGAACAGGCAACTGTAAGGCCCATGAAGAAAAGCAAATGACCTTGGTTCTTGGAGGATACGGTGCACGAGTGGACAGGGATGGACCAGCAGGGAAAACTCCAAGAGTAGCCCCCCAAATCGTCCAAGATCTTTTCCCAGACTTCTCCCCTCTGCCCTAGCTCCCCCCATCCACACAGCTGCAGACAAAGGTCTGACCCTATTGCAGTGGCAAGCACTACATTCAGACAGTTGGTTGGACCGTGTGACCTTACCCCA